TATAAATCTGGGTCGTTCCGGTTACGTAGACCCGACTATCGTGGGAACGACATTGGTATATTTTACTTATACCTCTATCGATACATCTATTATTACTCTTCATAAATATTATCATATACATACATGTCGTCGTTTAAAGTGTAAAGCCGCGTAACTAACATTTATAACCAAAAATGAAAAAATTTATGCCAAAAATGAGATTTGCTCATCGGAAGCTTCTGGCATTAAGCCTTATCCATTCATACTAAAATATCGATATAAATAAATAGCCTCAAATGGCTTTGTTTCATAAAAGAGAGAACCGTTTTAGAATAAGATTGCAGTTTTTATTATTTCCTGTAAAATTTACGCCTCATATACGCGGTTTTGCATTATGTTTATTCGCAGTTTTGCACATTAAACGATGATATATATTTTTTGGCATATTCATCGATGAATATTTTAAATATCGAATTATTATTTAAAGTGAAGAATATGAGAGCCAATCATTAACTTTATTTTCTGGAAATTGCAAGCGATAATCGATAAATTCGATTTTTAGCACCCTTATCAATTCACATAATAATCGGTGTTGTTATCGAAATAATTATGGACATATTTTTCGATAGACTCATTGCAATCGCTTTCGCTATTTCTACTCGCATATTCATTTTACTCTCATCGTCGATATCGATATATTCGACGATGTTATCTAATTATGCATTAAAAAAAATATATACATATAATAAATAAATAATCTCAAACATTTACTTACTTTTTTTGTAATTGGAATCGAAACAGCACTTGCGCATCACATAACCTTTTTTGTATTCAATCGCCGATGACGACTCTGGTATGTCTAAGAATGGATTTTGTCCGATTAGGCTGTTGCTTGTGCTATTGCCCACATTATTGTCGGCGCGTTGCTTTTGCAGTTCAGCAGAATCATCGTCGCTGGAAAATGTAAAATGTAGAAATTTTAAATGAAAATATGTATGTATGTAGCTCTAATGATAATATTTTAATAATAAAGATAATTATTTTCTTACAGCGCCCATTCCAGCGGTTGAGTCTTAATAGCCTGATAAAGATACTTTAAAACGTCCTTGGGAAAATTTTCGCCATCATTGAGTTCCGCCAGGTTTTCAATGAATTCAGCGCAGGTCATTTTACGCCCGATATTCTGGCCATGCAAATCGGTATTCAACAGCATAATAGCGCAAGTTAAAGTATGTACAGCATCTGTTGGAAATAT